CAATTCAGTTCAGTTCAGTCTGGATCCCTTCAAATGGCCGAGAATTACAGACCAGTAATTTGACATCAGTGATATGTAAGTGTTTGAAGGGCCTAGTAAGAAGACAAATATGCCACTACATGATCAATAGCGGGCTTCTTGTATCACCTCAGCACGGATGTCTTGAAAAGCGATCTTCTCTGACAAATCTGGGGGTGTTCCTTGATGAGATCACACGTAGAATTGATAAGAGCCTATCGGCGGAGGTATGCTCTCTGTACTTCCAAATGGCATTCGAATCGGTCAGTCACCATCTGCTGGAGCATAAGATGCAATCATTGGGAGTAGATGGGCAAGTCCGGAGCTGGGTAATGGGCTTTCTTGCGCAGAGGACGTTTAGTGTCAAAGTAGGAGCTCACACATCCGAGGAGAAGGTGGTCACAAGCGGCGTACCTCAAGGATCCGTACTTGGACCACTGCTGTTCCTAGTATTTATTAACGACCTAGCACGGGATCTCCAAAATCCCTGTTTTCTGTTTGCAGATAATGCAGATTTAAATCTGTTCTCCCTCACACGAAGGCGGATGAGAGGAGACGTCATCAAGGCATTTAAGATTGTCAAGGGAATTTCCGGTCTTAGGTTTGACGATCTATTCTCCTGCGAACAGTTCGTAGGTAGAGGCACTGACAGCAAGAACTAGGTAGGTAGATAGGTAGACAAGAATCAGTGACCTGCGCCAAATCTTTGACTCAAACGAGCGCAGGAAGAATTTTGGTGGCCGGTGTATTTCATAATGAATTTTTGAAAACCTTCTGAACCCATAATCATTTATGGTGAAATAACTTTATCTCAGTGTTGCTCCGATATTGACATTTCTCGATCACAAACATCATACATCATTATTTATCTGTTAATTCGGATGCCCGGCATATTTGAATTTGGCGTGGTTTGAGAACGTGAGCGAATGTTTGCCTCTCTGTGAACATCTCATTTGGCTCGCTTGCTTGAGTGATCTCGGCCGCATGTTTGAGGTTTGCTTTATTGTACATTTGTAAGGATTTTGTTAATTCAGTAACGTAGAACATGGCGGATCACTTGTGTTTTTACTTCGGGATTCGTATCGGCTCGGCTACGCGTCACTCCAGTGCAAATTGGTTGACGTACACGGAGCCCGTTGCCCGCTTACGCTATCTAATGGTGATTTTGTGGTTGCCGCAAAACTGAGCAGTCTACTGTCTACCCAGCAGGGGCATTCATATCTTTTCCAGTACACGCAAGTTTGTACACACCAACATGCATATATGCCTACATTATTCGTCCATTTCTGGGCCGTTTATGCAGCTTCCGTCCACATTTCATTAAGACGGCCCTTCAGCTCCCCAACTGAGGCTGCTGAAATAATCGAGGCTGGTAACTTATTCCAAGGGTTTATAACACTTTGGGGTTGGCTCATATATGAGCCCAGACAACTGCCCGGTTACTTTTGGTGCTCTCGGTTTTTCAAGTTTGAGTCCATTTCCTCGCAGAGGAAGGTCATTAATCTTGGATAGGAATTGCGTTCCTGTATTGAATAGACCATTTAGTTGCTTGGAGCTTCAGTGAGGTCTCCTCTAATTCGTCTTCTGACCAAAGACAATAGGTTAAGTTCTTTCAGCCTGCCGTGGTAGCTCAACCCTTCCATCCATCTGATTCGCTTAGTGAATCTCCGTTTTACATTCTCTAATATCATCGAGTCCTTCAAGAACGATGGCGACCAAGCTTGCAGAAATTAACTTAAGTGCGGCCTCATGCCATGCAACGTGGATTCCATTGGAATACAGGACTACGTGCAACGTTTGTCTACGTTTATGCAATCCTTGTCTCCGGCACAAACTCGAATACAGCAACGGAAGGTGTTCATACCTACTGAACTCCTAACCTATTCGCACGTACGTATTCTAATTGATGCGGTACCTAAACCGTTACAAAAGCCTTACGAAGGACCTTTTCGAGTTATTTCGCATCACGAAAAGTTCTTCAAGTTTGATCGACATGGTCGCGTCGATACGATTAACATCGAACGGCTCAAGGCAGCATATGTCGACGATGGCATAGTGCACGCCAGTTCGAGACCCGATGTTATTCCTGCACGGCCGATGATTGAGGCACCTACCTCAGAGTCGAGCTTGCAGATTGCATTACCTGCTACGATTTTGAATGAGGCAACAGTCTGACGTTCAAATCAGCAGTGTGCGAACACCTTATCAGACCAGGACGAACATGAACAACAAGTGGTTTTCTTTCATTCTGGCACGCTAACGATCACGGACGTTGGAAACGACGAGAGCCACCTGATACCAAGATACAACTAACGATTCGGATGGTGTGAATCATCCAATGACCGATGGAGGATACGTCACTGTGGTTCCCATGCTGACATCCGATGCAACGAATCTGGTTGATGTTCAACTGACGCAAAACAGCCCACACACACCAACGATTGTGCCAGTCCACGTCTTGCAGAACAGCGACACGCTAACGATTGCCTGCTCTTCAAACTCGTTCCCGAATCGAAAGCTTTTGCTTGCTTTGTAGCGGAAGGCTGCTGTAGTGACCATGATTGTACGAAGAAAAGGAGCAATCCACGAGGACGTTTTCCGTTCATGTTTTCTTCACAATCAACTCTGACTCCAACTGTGATATTTCTTTGTTTTACCTCTGTTTGTTTTACTGAGCACGGTTTTCCACTCAGACGTATATATAAGCTGGGTCCTGTTCAAACCCACGCTACACGTGTGGCACGCTTTCGCTTAGATACTGCATTTATTGCTTGCATTGTTTAGCGTCACCTTGGCACGTTTCGGTACTATCTAGTACCACGATTCGTCAATAAACGTTTACGACTCCCACGAGTGTTTTTGTCTTTTTCGGGCAACGAGACACTAGGAGGTTGCGCGCGTATTGAGACCCGTAAGAAGACTTACCAGCAGACCGTCAACTCCGGTTAATTTCCTTGGTGAGCCCGCACTGTCTACTCTGTAAGTCAATTCCATTTGGGTTTGCACTTTTTCCTCACGGTTCATTATCATTTGCACGATACATCTCTTTATCACATTTGTAAAATGTCCACCGGTAGACGATAGGGAGCTGGACCTACTGGCTATTAGTTTAAAGCCAGTAGCCTTCATTCCCCATGACCCCGAAGTGTGGTTTTCGGTGTTAGAAACGCAGTTTGTCACCCGTAACGTGCGGAGCCAGCGCTCCAAATACGTTTACGCAGTAGAGGCGATCCCTGGCGACCGAATGTCCGCCATTAGGGATATTATTCTTAAACCACCGGAAAAAGACGCGTACGAAGTTCTGAAGGCTGCAATCCTTCAGTTCTATGCCCCTCTAACGAGGAGAGGTTGCGCCAGTTGCTGGCTCGTCAGCCGATCGGTGACAAGACGCCAAGCAAGCATCTGGCGCGTCTACGCTCGGTAGCCGGCCCAGCAAACGCCAACTCTGACATTGTCGGAGAGCTGTGGCTTGAGTCGTTGCCACGTCACGTCCAACCGACGGTAACGGCCCTGATGGAAGACTCCTCAATCGACAAAGCTGCGTCAATTGCAGATAAGATAGTTGCACGGGTCGATAATAAGGATAATTTTCTCGTTGCCACGACATGGCAACCGTATAGGGGGAACAGGGACACATATGCGATATGGCCTTCACAGCCACGACCACATTGCGTACACCAGCGTTTCTCTTTCAAGGACAGAGTTCCGGTGTCCACAGCAAACCCCTATAGGGCTAAGCCTAGGTTGGAACGGGCAGCACAGCCTGCTCAC